TTTTGTGAACAAATACCTTTGGCCTTTTGTCATGTGGTGTTTTTTCAATCTGTTTTATAGGACATCTTTTGGTTTGATGATAAAAAAAATAGTACGGGAGCTTTAACAACAAGATTGGCCACAGAAGCAGCACAAGTTCAAATGGTATGTATGTGTCTAATTCTGTATCTCTGTAACTACAATTAGATGCATTTCAGTCTGTGTGGTTGTTGGTAACACACGGCAGCCTATAAAGCTGGAAGACCAGTACCTCTCTCTAGGTAGTGAAAATGAACAGAAAGAAGCCAGATTTAGGGAGGGGTGGTTCAGGATGGGGGCTTGCTAAATGTTTCTTACAAAAGCTGCCAAAATATAAATTGTCACAAATGACCTTTGGTGAGACTACAACGTTACCAATAAAGCTATTATCTTTTACGTTTTTTCATATGTAACCACCCTGCACATATAGTAGGAAGGAACTGTATGTTATCAGCACTGTCTCTGCTTTAACATTGTCTATTCATAAAATAATATTTCTTTCAAATTTTGTGACAAACTTCATTAGGACATATAAATAGAAAAAGTTTTATTACAAATAATATAGTGGAAAAATTATGGATATAGATTATTTCCTGTTAATATTAGTCAACCATTCCCTGATTGAAGCTTTGCATCGTTGATTTCAATAGAGAGTGAATATCTGGTCATGTTAATAAAATGAAAATAAAAGATTTTTCTAAACACTGATATAGCCAAAACAAATACTGTTTTCTACAGAAGGTATTTTGTTTTTTAAAAAAGTGTGTTTTAAATTGGAGGGTTTTTAATAGAACTGAGAAACCTGCATTTTCTGATTATAGCTAAATGGCTAAAGTGTTATTTAAAAGCAATTATAAATCCATTTTGGGGTTTTGTTACACTCTTCCTCTCTTTCTGTAGGCTTACTTTGCTGATGGTAACAAGGTAAGAACAGTTTCCTAGTACTATAAATTGAACATTGTTTCAATATTGTTGTATTTCTGTATTGTCTGTATTTGTATACATTAAATATACTTAACTTTTTTGTTGGTCTTCCTCTTGCTCTTTTCTATCTGTCTCACTTCAAAAAAACCCAGCAACAAGATCGGGAACCAGTATTTTCAGAAGAATTGGGACTTGCAGTAGAAAAGTTGAAGGATGGTTTCACTCTGCAAGGACTCTGGGAAGTAGTGGGTTGATTTCAATAAAGCATTGAAAACATGTATTAGTCATTATGTTCCCAGCAGATCTTTATCATATTATTGAAACTATTTGAGTAACATCTAACGTATCAAAGAGAGGGAACAGTAAATATACTATGTAGTCAGGTTATATTTTTTAAAAAGGAATAGTAGAAACAAATTATATGTTTGTAATATAATTGTATTTATTGTTTTGTTTTCATTTGTGCAGTGTTTTTGTTTCATTTAAATTATTCACTTGTTTATACAAAAGAAATGTACTCATCCATAATATGTGCATCCAAATAATATTTCCGTAGGCTCTCTCATCATTCGTTCTTAATGTTAGTTAAGAGAATAACAAGTGAGAGGATTTATTACTGAGTGTAAAGTACTGTATTTAGATGGAATAGTTGCATCATTTTGGTAGTATACTGAAAACATTTTGACAAAATACTGTAATATTGCAGGTATCTGTTAGCTTTCATATCATAGAACTTAATAGAGTACATACCAGACATCGTGCCTGGTACATGTTCTTATCTAAATATTCCAAGACAGGGTTTGTTTGTTTGTTTTTTGTCAAAATACTGATATGTTTATTGGCCTTTGGTTTTAAGCAGGATAATCTGGAAAGAATCATGTACTACATTGCTTTTGCATCTGATACATCAGACATTAGGCTGTTATATATTCCATGCAGAGAAATGAGTCATTTATTGTTTAAAAGGGAGATGCAGCTGTTATGTTTTCTAGTGAGATAAGACCTTATGTACTATTTTCTAAAAATGGAAAAAGTCAAATGAGCTATCCTTTCAGCTGTTGTTTTAGCAGCTGACTGCACCAGTGACTTAAGTGTTGTACGCAAAGGAAGAAAAGCCTGTTAAATATTGTAAAAATGTTCCTAAGTAATATTGAGTTTATTTATTTTAAAAGATTTTAATAAGCTCTAAAAACATTCTGTCAAGCAGCAAACACTGCATTGTAAAGTAGTAGGCAAACTTGTACTGTACCATTGGTGTTAATTAGTGTTTTGCTATTGATTTCTATGACAAAGTCAATCCCTTTGTCATAAGTTGTTCAACGTCTATGTAACTAGGTTTAATAAAGACCTAAGCAGTCCTTGTCTGAATTGTGATTTTTTTTTTTACTTGGGTGTATAAACATGATGTGATTACCCATTTGTGTGCAACTTCTAAATTCACTTCTAAACTTATTTTAACTATTCACAGAGTTTGTTTGGTTAATACAGACAAATACCTCTATCTGAATTTTTAGTTTGGTAATAATTGTTATTTATTAGGGAACTTCTGTGTAGTGGAATTGTCTTTAATTTTCTTTTGTACCTACTATGTTCATTTTAGTTTAACAGAGTATACCTTTACTAATACCAATTTCCAAATGTTCCTAAAATGAAACTTAAGTAATATGGGGGAGAGTATAGTGTATTCATTATTATTTATGAAATGTAACTTGGTGAGTTTGCATTTAATATAATAACAGTGAATTTTATTTTGCAAACAAATGACAGAGTTAAAATCCAGTGTGAAACGAATATTTTATTAGAGATCTACAGATTTTTTCCCCCCCTCTGATGCTAGGGCATATTAAACCTAACAAAAACATAACTGATACAAAGTTTTATTTATTTATTTATTTTTGGGTCAGGGGTCAGGGTCATGTCTCTGATTCATGCTTCAGTAAAATTCAGTTTAATGAGCAATGTGTCCTGACTGTTTCTGGAAGTCTCTCGAAAATGGCTTGCTATGAATCCACTATGAATAGTTATCCAGCTGCCAACTTTAGCCTTTGCTCATAATACTTCTATTTCAAAGGATATATTTGACTCGTGGTTCATATCTGTTTCATTAAGGGCTGGATTCTGACACCCTTACTCATGTTGAGTAATCCCTTACTTTGCAGGTAGTTTGAATGAGTCTATGTAATGATGGCAAAATGAAGCCCCAGTGACTAAAAGCAACAGTTGTTTCTTTCAGTCTGACAGCTGCAAGCACAACTTTTCTCTTCACACCAACCATTCTAAATTCCAGCTTGTAAGTGTATGTACCTATATTTAGCTGTCAGGATTAAATTGCAGAGCCTTCAGGCTGGGGAAAGCACATTGATCTGCCTTTTTTACAGACAGACCTTGGTGCCGACAACAGCTAACGTTTTCAGTGCCTCCCCCCAACCCAAGTTACTCACAAAATGGATTCCCAAAGGGAACTCACTGAAGAACTTAGACTTTATCAATCCACCCTTCTTCAGGATGGCCTCAAGGAACTCTTAGAAGAGAAAAAGTTTGTAGATTGCTCCCTAAAAGCTGGTAACAAAAGCCTACCTTGTCACAGATTGATTCTGTCAGCTTGTAGTCCTTATTTCCGTGAGTATTTCTTATCTGAGCAAAGCGAAGATAAGAAGAAGGAGGTCATTCTAGATGATGTTGATCCCAACGTCTTGGACTTGATCATCAAGTATCTTTATTCTGCAAGTATTGACCTCAATGATTCTAATGTGCAAGATATTTTTGCTTTGGCCAGCCGTTTTCAAATCCCTTCTGTATTCACCGTGTGTGTCTCCTATCTTCAGAAAAGACTGGCTGTTGGTAACTGTCTTGCCATCCTTCGATTAGGTCTCCTCCTTGACTGCCCAAGACTTGCTTTCTCTGCTCGTGATTATGTGTCAGACCACTTTGTGCAGATTTGCAAAGAAGAAGACTTCATGCAGCTTGCCCCCCATGAGCTTATATCAGTTATTTCACCTGACAGCTTAAACGTCGAAAAAGAGGAAGTAGTGTTTGAAGCAGTAATGGAGTGGGTCCGAACAGACAAGGAGAACAGAGTAAAGAGCCTGGGAGAAGTTTTTGACTGCATTCGTTTCCGTCTTATGTCAGAAAAATATTTCAAAGAGCATGTTGAGAAGGATGATATTATCAAAAGCAACTCAGATCTTCACAAAAAACTCAAGGTTATTAAGGATGCCTTTGCTGGAAAATTACCCGAACCTGCCAAAAGCTCAGAAAAGTCAGGGAAAGGGGAAATAAATGGTGATGTAGGGGATGAAGACTTACTCCCTGGATACCTAAATGACATTCCTAGGCATGGCATGTTTGTCAAAGACCTAATTCTTCTAGTCAATGATACAGCTGCAGTGGCTTATGATCCCCTGGAGAATGAGTGTTACCTGGCAGCCCTGGCAGAACAGATTCCCAGAAATCATTCCAGCATAGTCACCAAACAGAATCAGGTCTGTGTTGTTGGAGGCCTTTATGTGGATGACGAAAACAAAGATCAGCCTTTCCAGTCATACTTTTTCCAGGTATGAATCTCATAATCATTGGGCTGAGGGCATTACATGGAAATTACTGAAGGATATTTTGATATAGGATACAGTTGTTTTTGTTTTTTTTTTAATCTGGTCTCATGATTTTTCTTATAAAAGGTTATGAGCCTTTTTAACTATTGCCTGTCAGACTTGTTCATGATAGCATTGCCTGTTGATGACAAAATGACACCCTTACTTTCAACTGGTTTGGCTGCTAATATCAGCCTTAATAGCATGTTTTTTGTCTGGTCAAACCAAAGCTTTTTTGAAAACGTAAAAATGGCTATTTAGGGTATACTTCTAAAAGATACTACTGATTGCCAGCTATTCCTATGAAAGCTTAAGGGAATTGCATGTTCTTTGTACCTTTCAGTATCCTTTTATGAGAACTCAGAAAAAATAGTTAATGTATTTTTTATCTACTAAATATTTGGTTGTCCAGGGTCAGGTGTTTAGTGTCATTTGGGTGACTAAAAAAACAGATAGGCACCTAGTAGAATTTTCAAAGTTGCCTGTGCACCCAGCTACCATAGATGTCAATCACAGTTGGGCATATAAGGGCTTTTGCAAATGCCTGTATGTGCCCATGTGCACCCAGGCACCTAAATAGGTTTAAAAATCTGCCTCTCAGTGTCCTAACAAATTTAATGTTTTCTTTTGTTTAAGATTCATACCATACATTAGGGTAGCTGATTTGTAAAGTTTTAAAATTTGAAGTAGTTTTGATAACTGCCATGTTATACCAAATACTTTTGTTGGTGTATGGTGAATGCCTATGTACTTAAATCCATATACATATAGTTGACACTGACTTACTCTAAACTGCAGTGATACCACTATGATCAGATTAGCAAAAATAATCCTTCTGTAGGCATACATACCTTCTGCTGTGGTGTTTTTAGATGCATAATTTCACATTTTTTCTGTTGGCATTACAACTATTTCATGATGGGTATAATATGCCATGGGGTGAATCCTAAGAAATACAAGACTAGATTTCTTTTCTATACTCCACACAGGTAATAATCCATGATAGAATTTTAATGTTCTTGACAGGTTTTTAAAATAGTGATTTATTGTAGATATTTCATAAATGGATAAACTATGGATTGGCCTGGTATTTAGATGTATTTAGTAAAATAAACATGGTATAAATGCGGAAGACTGCTATCAGTTTGCTAGAGAGTGATTATGTTAGCACGGTTTTAATTTTCTTATGTAGTTATAAAGTAATAATAAAGTTTAAAACTTGCTACAAAAATCTAGTTGTGATTGGTTCCAGGAATTAATTTATTATTGAATTAGGTAACTACATTATCAGGCTAGAATTCCATTAGGGGTAGTCTTTTCATAGTTTCATAGTTTCATAGATTTAGGGTCGGAAGGGACCTAGTAGATCTTCTAGCCTGACCCCCCGCCAGGGCGGGAGAACAACAAAACCCCAAAACAAGAAACGGGACTCAAATGAGTCCAGCCAGGTAGGCATCCAGCCTCTTCTTAAAGACCCCCAGGGTAGGGGCCAGCACCACTTCCCTTGGAAGTTG